AAGTAAAATTTTAGTAAAAACTAAAATATATTCGTAAATGTCAAGAATTTAAAAATCTTTAGAGATAAAGACGAAATAAAATGAACAAATAAAAATATATAAAAAGTTACGATAAAAAACTGTATACAGTGTGATCGAAGTAGTTGCTTTTTCCTTTCCAAATGGTTTTTTTTTGTAGTAATCATCACCACAGCTACCTCAGATACATACCTTACTTTGCACAATATCAATCCAACTAATAATTATATAAAATTCCTAACTTATCATTTTTCTAAGACGTTGAATTTTCTTGTTCTCTTCTTTCATATGCAAACTATACAGGGTGAATCACGAATCGTGATCAGTAGAGATTACTTTATTATTAGCAGTCCGATCGAAAATTTTTTTATCAGCTTTTACACGGTTTCAAGAGAGCTTTAACGTGATAGTGAAAAATTACTGGTCAACTCTTTTTTTAAATGTTTTTTCAAGGTTACCTTGAATTTTTGGCAACTGAACATATAATTTTTTTACGCCTGTCTCTTAGAGGATTTCAAGACGAGTTCGGCACATGTAAGGACATGACATTTTTTTCATCGGATTCGAAAGAAAATTAAAAAACTTTGTATCACAAGGAGATTTATCTAATAAACCGAACATTTTAATTGAGATCGAAGTGTCCGGATCATTTTGTGTGTCGCGTGATCGTCTGACCCATCCGACCTATTGTTCCGAATCCCGACGCCTCCGCGTAGCTGAGTTAGAAAACGTAGGCACGCGAAGACGAACTGTAGAAACTGATACGTGGTTCCCGTTTTGGAACCTGGCGTCCAACAATACCTTAGGTATTTCGAGAGTAAAATTTGTTAGTCCCTGGGTTCCCTGAAACGCGTAAAGTTGTGCGCCGGTCGGTCTTGCATTTTCCGGTGAGGTCGATCGCGTAAAAATACGTCACAGTACATACAGTAGTACTTCGATTATTCAATCGTCGGTTATCCGAACAGCTAGCTTGTTCCTTTCGCGCTTTCTTTTGTGGTAACATCGCACAGACTTATCCCGTAAAAAAATTACTAATGGTTTTGCCAAAGGTAATGAATAATTTTCCATTGCTTTGACTACACGTTTTCAATTATCCGAATATGCAATAATCGACGTTCTATCGTAATTATATACAGGATTATTCAGCACAAACGCATCATTTGAATTGATAGTTCTAAATAGAATCAAATTAACCAGTTAGTTGTGTATGACGAATAAACTCGTTATGAAGAAATGGCAATTTTTTGCATTATAGCGAGTATACTCGTCATGTGTAAAAAGTAGTTACCATTTGCTATTTTAAGTAAAATTTTAGTAAAAACTAAAATATATTCGTAAATGTCAAGAATTTAAAAATCTTTAGAGATAAAGACGAAATAAAATGAACAAATAAAAATATATAAAAAGTTACGATAAAAAACTGTATACAGTGTGATCGAAGTAGTTGCTTTTTCCTTTCCAAATGGTTTTTTTTTGTAGTAATCATCACCACAGCTACCTCAGATACATACCTTACTTTGCACAATATCAATCCAACTAATAATTATATAAAATTCCTAACTTATCATTTTTCTAAGACGTTGAATTTTCTTGTTCTCTTCTTTCATATGCAAACTATACAGGGTGAATCACGAATCGTGATCAGTAGAGATTACTTTATTATTAGCAGTCCGATCGAAAATTTTTTTATCAGCTTTTACACGGTTTCAAGAGAGCTTTAACGTGATAGTGAAAAATTACTGGTCAACTCTTTTTTTAAATGTTTTTTCAAGGTTACCTTGAATTTTTGGCAACTGAACATATAATTTTTTTACGCCTGTCTCTTAGAGGATTTCAAGACGAGTTCGGCACATGTAAGGACATGACATTTTTTTCATCGGATTCGAAAGAAAATTAAAAAACTTTGTATCACAAGGAGAATCACAGCT